CAGTCGCACCCCGCTATCCCGGATATTTTCTTTCAGGGGGGTCAGGTTGGAGGACGGTGTCTCCGAACGCACTTAGTGTCTTTAAGTAGATTAGTGTAGCATGAATGAAAACTAGGTTAAGCTATCCCGGATGGCCAAAATCCGAAGAATCTGTCCGGAACAGCGAGGGATCCGGGACAACGGGTGAGGTTTTGGTGGAAATAAATCCAAAGCTCACAGAAATTCATACGGGACAGCGAGGTATCCGGATTATCGAGATCCGGGATAGCGGGGTGTGACTGTATACGAGTAGTTCTTTCCAGACAGGGCGTAGCTCGGGCGAGTAGATCTCATTAACAGGTATTCAACTAAGCCTCTTGTGGCTTAGTTGTTGTAACTTTCATCGCGCACACCCCCAGCTAGCGTACCAAGCCCCCGATCACCGATATGGTAGTGGATCTATTTGTTGGCATTTGAGCCTGATGTTCTTATCCCCAACCACCAAGAGGCGAACAACAGCATTGGACCAGGGCTCGACCCTGGGCCCCCGCTATTCGCGGAATAATACACCAGTCGTGTTCACAAACGTCCTCCACCGAGTTCTCCCATCATGACAGCGGGGGTTTTTCTAAGCCAGTGTCGCAGAGTGGGGCAGGACCCGCAGAGGGTTATATACTCGTGATCCTCCTTCTGCTCTAATCTCCGCTTGCTGCTTGAGGATACTCACAAAAGTCCATAATCTCCGCTCTGGGTCTCGAAGTTAAAGCCCATCCACCGAACCTTCGCATTAGGTCTCCACCCTTAATCTTAGATTAGATATCTTGGGGTGGAGATGAACGGTACCACCGATAAGGGACACATGCCGGCGGGGCGCACTGTTGCCCAATCCCTACCACCTCCATATCCTCCAATACATACTTCATACAAGCGACAGCGTGTGAGTCCAGATCGTGCCCGCGAGCACATAGAACACAGGAGCGGTGGCATTGCGCTGTCACAGGAATCCAAAACAATATCATTAACCGGCCGAGATGTCCCGTCACCAGACGGCCGCGATTTGGAGGCGGAGATGATGGACGTCCCTGGCGCCCCTCCAACAGACACCGAAATAGATACCGAGATAGATACCGAGATAGAATCTCCACCCTTACGGACATCCCTCAAACGGCAAAACAACAGAACTGAGCAAGACCCCGGAGTGGAGGCGGAGATGATGGACGTCCCTGTCGCCCTCCAACAGACACCGAAATAGATACCGAGATAGATACCGAGATAGAATCTCCACCCTTACCCACATCCCTCAAACCGCAAAACAACAGACATCGTCCCGCAGTGGCTAAATGCTTACCGGCTCCCTCTGTATCGTGCCGGGGTGCCAAGCGGGTCCGATTCGCGCACCCTGTGGTCGAACGGGGGGGGGGTGGGCAGGGCATGGGGGTACTACCGCGGCGTAGATGGACAGAGAGTGATGACCGGCGACTGCGTGAGGGGCTTGCACTGCGAGCAGGCGTCCCCCAGATCGCGGCTACCCTCAACCGGACACCACGTGCTATTCAGATCAGATTGGCAAAGTTACGAAGGGCAGGGGCCATTACACACATCGCGGCAAGGCGGCGTAGGTGGACAGTTGCTGAGGATGCGCGACTGTGTGAGGAATACGCGCGAGGGACAGACACAAGCACCCTTGCGGATATTCTCGACCGAACACCACACGCCGTTCGGGGTAGATTGGTGAGGGCCCGCAGGGCCGGTACCATCGAACCCTTCTCAGCCATAATCAACCCTCTCCCGACCCAGAAATTGAACATATATGCATTTGGTACCGGTGACAATGCTGAGCTGGGTCTTGGGCCAGAGGTTAACGCAATGGTTGTCAAACGTCCCAGATTGAATGCTCATCTCCTCCCCGATAAGGTGGGAATAGTTGCCATTGCAGTTGGTGGTATGCATGGCTTAGCCCTATCATACGAGGGGAGGGTATACTCGTGGGGTGTCAATGATCAGTACGCTCTTGGGAGAGCAACTACGCATACACCTCTGACCAGGGTTGTCCATTCCGGTGATGATGACGACAGCGACAGTGACGAAGAAGTGCTCTTGAATCCATGGGAGAGCACACCAATGCTGATTACAGGGTTTCCGGAGGGGACTGTGATTACGAGCATTGCTGCCGGTGACAGTATCTCGATCGCTGTTACCGACACCGGCAGGGTTTACGGATGGGGAACATTTAGGGTATGTGATTAATTCTCCATTCAGGGTTAGTAAGGTTAATTTATTGTTTAGTGCGCCGATGGCATTCTCGGATTCAATGAGAGGACTAGTGTACAGGATGTTCCAGTCCTGCTACCTACGCCCAGGAACATCATTCGGGTCAGTATCGGCACTGATCACGTCCTTGGCCTTACGAAGGAAGGAGACGTGTACGGGTGGGGCAACGGTCAGCAATACCAGCTCGGGAGGCGCATTTCCGAGAGACATCGCCTCACTGGGCTGAACCCTCGCCAGGTGTCCCTTCCACGGTGCCAGGTCAAGTACGTCGCAACCGGCTCGTATCATTCTTTCGCAATTACCCGGGACGGCAAGGTCTGGGCATGGGGGCTCAATCAATATGGGCAATGTGGGATATGCAAGCCTCAGTGCACCGAGGAAGATAGTACTGTGATTCCTGTTCCTACCGTCGTCAAGTCTCTTGCAGGGTACATAATCGTTCGGATATCTGCCGGAGAACATCACTCAACCGCCCTGACCGAGAACGGTGAGCTCCTGGTCTGGGGCCGTCTTGACAGTGGACAGCTCGGTATAGACCCTGCAGCGCTTTCAGTGGATGATTGCGTCCGTGACGCGAGGGGCAATCCCCGCTACCTCAGGACCCCACATGCTGTCCCTGGCATCAGGTTCTCCACCATTGGCTGTGGCACGAACCACAATATTGCCATCTCGACGGAGGGACAAGCATTCTCTTGGGGCTTCAGTGGCAGTTATCAAACCGGCCTCGGCCCCGACGCTGATGAAGGGATCATGACCCCTACAAGGATTGAAAACACAGCCACCAGAGGTGTCAGAATGACCTTTGCCGCTGCCGGTGGGCAATTCTCCATCCTCACTGGAGTTCCCACGGAGCCTGCTAATTGCGGTTATTCGGGTGCCGATACATATGCGAATGATGCAGATACTAATGGTGATGAGGAGGCGGCGGAAGAGGACAAGGGAGGCGATTAACAGGGGCCGCTAGGATTTGTACATCTACGAATATGCGACCTAGTAGTAATTAATAATGTTGCCTCTTGATCTGGGACTCGGACAACGATAGGGGCACAACAAACCTTCCCCATACCAGAGTGTGAATGCCTTTCCTATTTCCCTCGTTAAACCCATTGTACCGTTTAGGTAGCATACAAGACTAGGGGCTCATTGTAGTGGTTGATTTGGCATTATACTGTATAGCAGGAGTAGTTGGGGCTAGACTGGACCGCCGGTCCTTACATAGCGATGAATAGGCCTGAGTCAATGGTCTGACGCTATTATTGAACGCATGCTATGGCCTGCCATTCGGATTGCACATGTAGCCTATGTCCGGGGTCCTCCCGCTCGGGGTCGCTGTCTCCGGGATGGATGTAGTCAACCGCCGCCCAGTGTCCATCATGCCCCAGCCCTACTGCTATGCTCAGGGACATTGCTCAGTAGTACTGATCGCACCCTTGGCCCTACAAAGGAAGGAGAGGTGTACGTGTAAGGCATATTAGGCACCGGCTATCACCGGCTATCACTCGGTGGAAGAGAGGCCCTAAGCCTAAATAGCAAACTAATAAACTAACACCTAGTGCCTTCAGGCTCTCCGGCCTTCCCTGTATCCTTCCGTCCTCCCTTCCGGTCTTACCCCTTCCTTCCCTCCTTCCCTCCGGCCTCCGGATGCCCCTCCGGGGGGGCACACAGCTCCAATACCCCCCCCGCACCTTCCCGCCGTCCCGCACACCTCCCCATCACCGATCGCACCGCTGCGCAGCCGTGAACGCAATCGAACCAGCTAACGGCGAATGGTTGAACGGTGGAACGAACGGGTCAATGAGAGAATGAATGAACGGACAGGGCTGGGGGGGCGAGCGTGTCCCGCAGGCTTTCAACAGGGGAATGGCCAGCAATCCCAGCTCGGGAGCCATGCTCGCGGGACACAACACCTTACCGAGCCGATCCTCACCATCCCCCAGTGCCGGGTCAAGTATGTCACCACCCCTTTACATCAATCTTTAGTAATTAACCCAAATGGCAGGGTTTGGACGTGGAGAAGTGTCAAATCTCATGCAAGACGGGCTACAGCCTAGAGACAAAGATCTGATTTTATTTAACTAAGGTACCCGCCCCAATGCCATGTTGTTTCCTAACCTCCCTCACAGCCCTATATACTAGGTGGATAACCAGCATCCCAATTCCTGATCCCTCTCGCCTTACGCGTCCTGCCACCCCCCCCCCCCCCTACCCTCATGGTCACCATGAAAGGGAAATCGTTTCGGAGTCTATCCCCCTTAGGCAACATGCAGTAACCAGAACCCCATTGACGCCGAGACAGTGGAGCATATTGGTCAGCTGCCATCGCGAAAAAGAAGCTGTGGTGGTATCGGGGGAAGAAGGCTCGGAAGGAAATGAGGCAAGGGAATGTATGAATGAGTTCGGAAGCGTGTGAATAGGAGATATGAGGGGGCCCTAACGATAGAACGAGTGGTGAGGAGAAGAGTAGTGATAGAAAAACGGAATGTAAAACAAAACTAAATACTAGAGGTAGTATGCGGCCTACAAGACTAGTCTGTATCTGTATGGCGGATAGGCAACAAAACGAACGTTATGATTAAATAAAACTAAAGCAATCGAGACATCATTGTCTCTACACAGGTGCGCCCCCCCGCTATCCAACGGTTAGCAGTGTCCCACAGGGTCAGGGAGCGTAGGGGGCTTACAGAAGCACCATCATGGCTGCCAACGAGAGCGCGGATATTCAGGGTAAGCTCCTGTAACATTCTGCCTTGTTCCTCCTGCCTTCCCGCGATTGTGGCGACCATGGCTTCCAAATTACCCTGTTTCGCTTCCAAATTATCCTGTTTAGCTGCGATTGTAGCGGTCGCGGCGTTCAATGTGCTGACATCTGTAACCAGGCCAATGACCTTTGTGGTGAGGTCAATGACACTGCCTTCTAGTGCTATATTGTACTTGCTCTGTCCTTCGGCATGCGCCATGACTCTGTCACTCAACCCGGTGACCATCGTACCCAGGGCAATGAGGCGGCCGCTGAGATCCCGGTAATCCTCATGGGTAGCCTTGAAATGTTCGGCGATAGCGGAAAAACGAGTGTCAACTGAACCTGACATACTGGTAGACCGGGTGGTGCGTGTTGGTAATCGTACGGATCGCAGAATGGGGGCGGGTCTGCCTAGGATCTTTGGTGGCTGTATTCGGCGCGAAAGAGACGTGGAACTGAAATGAAGGAGGGGTTGGTAAGCAAGGGGCTGAGAGGAGGATTGATGGTAGGAGGTGTGGAAATGGGAATAGGGGGCGTGTGGAGAAGGAGGGAGGGAAGGAAGGAAGAAAGGAAAGGAGAAAGTAAGTAGGGAAGAGTGGATCGTTTGCCGCCCTCGGGAGGTCGTAGGATGACTAATGGTGGCATTTGTCGGGTGCTTAACTAATCAAGGCGCTAACCCATAGCAGATAAAGGAACGTCGGGTGAGTATAGTGGTTAATATACTCACCCGACAAATGCCAAGACCTGCAACGGTATATTTTGGGTATAGTAGGTTGTTGTGCCAAGAATCCCGAGAAAACAGAGTTCATCTATCCGACCCCCTCCCATCCATCCATCCTCCCTCTTGTCTCATCGCGCACCCGCTCATCCCCATTACTCGAGTAGATCCTACCCGTTAAACACAACTACCACAACCGACATCGCACCCGCCTATCCCCGTTCTCACTCCTCCGGATACGATAAACACATCCTACACGCTAGACCCTACAGTACCACGCTAAACGCAACTACTACAACCGACCCCCCCTCCCCCTTGGTATTTGCTATCCTCAGAAAGTCTCGGGTCAGAGTCCCCGGGGCCTCGTGACAAGGAGAGCCAGGAATCAGCACAAGCGACAGCGGTGGTGGAGCTAATGCAGGAGGCCAATGACACCCTGCAGGTGTACGAACAGTTTAAGAAAGCGTTTGATCGACACATGGTGGTCGCTGAGCCAAAGTGAACGGGATAATACTTGCGCATCATGGTGAATACGGCACATCACCCAGGCATTATGGAGCGTGGTAATAATGGGGGTGGTTATAGTGCATGTCGGCGAAGGGTCCAGCGAGTAGTGCGATAATAATCCATGTTCGCAATGGTGAGTTTTTCCGTCCTCTGTTTGTATCCGTCCATCCATCTACACTCCCGCAGACTGTCGTGAAAACTGACGATGACGTTTACCGGTGGTAGTGTTGGTTTGAAGTTCCGGCGCTGGTATACCTGGCCCCGGTTTCAGAGGACAAAAATGTTTGCGCACCCGTACTGGGTTATTGGGGTTAATACTATATTCCGGTGTGTTTGCTCGTACTTATTTCCTCGCTTCTTACGCTCAAGGGGAAACTGATTGGGCATAGATTGTCTGGTTCGCGGCCTTCTGTCGCTGGCCACACTAACGGTGGTATCCCTGATGGAGAGGGGAAAGAGAAGGGCGAAAAGTGTAGGATCAAGACGGAGGGTGGATGTGCATTATTTCCCGCGGGAACCGGTGAGGACCCCAAAGCATGTAAGATGAACCAAGCAGCCGTCGGACTCGGTGAGATTCTGTGGTAAACACTCCTCTCTCACCCTACACACCGTTCATTCCACAGTTCCATTTTTTCCTCATTAACTTGATGCAGGTTTTTCTGGTTTGGAACTACTGCGGTCGCAGGCTATGCCGCTTGGTATTTCCGCTAACACAGCGTCTCCCCATTCGAAGACCTAGCCCGGCAGGACATAACATTGAGGAAACCACCAAGGACGCCTTTAGTTCTAACGACGAATATGCCCTCATTAATAAAGGCCTAGATGAGGACGACGGTGACAGCAGATTCTCCTCCTATCACGGACGTAGTGGAAGTGTGACCAGCCACAATACTAGTTACGATGCTCACCCCGATAACCCTATTCTTTGGGGCGGCGAAGGAAGCGCGTATAATGGAATCGAAGACACAGACCAGTGGCAATGGGCGAGAATTGAAGAACCCCCTCGGGGTTAACCATGCCCATCGCTCCGGATGAGGATTATAGCTACAGGGGAGTGACAGTGAAATATGATGTTTTCTGCGTTTTCCTTTTGTCTTCCGGTATCTTTTTCCATTTTCTTCCATTTCTTTTCCTGGCCAAGTTTCTTTTGACTTTCTGGTGCGGATGGGATGGGTTGTCTCCCTTTGCGTTTTATATATCCTTTTGCGGCATGGAACAATGGAAAATGGCTTTTCAACTTGTATAACATTGAGTACAAGCGGGGGATTTCTTGCATCGGGTTGGCGGCCGATCTGAACAGGGATTTGATCAGATGAAGGAACTTGGAGAGGAGGAAGTCATTGATATATAGCTATTAGCTTCCTAATCGGGCTTCATGCGGCCATTCCATATCACTAGCTTTGAGCAGACGTGCCATATCACGGGTCACTGATACCCATACCAACATCCATGCCTGTTCCAACTACCGCGGTATCCCGACTGATGCAGATTTCGTTCCAGCGGATGCCGTTGGCTTATCGCGATCGTCACCGCGCATCTCGTACCCCCCATAATAGCCGTGTCCGCTCTCGTCCTCATCGCCCGGATTGGGACGTGGTCGTGGTCTATCCTATAGCTTCATTCAACTCTATGCTGGTGGGGGAACACGTCATTGCATAAACCATGGGGGTAGTTTGTGCTTTCCTAATTAAATAACATTTTAACCCTTTGAGTGTGTATCCGTAAAGTATACAAGTATCGGGATGGTACCGTATTATGCAATAAGAGATATCACTTTGCTTAACCACCTCACCTAGGTTAACAGTCGAATCGTAACCATTTAGTTTTGACCAACCTCCCAATCATTAGATAGGGCTGATTGCAGGAAACACAGTAACCTACCGTGATACCACGCTGCGCCAGACTGTGGAGGTATTTTACCGGGGGGATGTCTCGATGAATATCAAGCATGGCACTTGTATTGACCTCACGCACGGCTATTAGCACCACTCTGAGGCGTGGCGAAACTCATAAGGGGAGTATGACTGACCTCCGGTCGAGCGCCTGGCACAACTATGAGATATGGTCAACACCGATACGGGGTGTGACGAACTGGGGAAATGCCTTGACTTGGTAGGAATTCAGGTGACCGATGCGGGCCTCTGCCATAGTCCGGTAGCGGCGGAAGGCTCCGATCGTGCGCTATAGCCCAAGGTCTACCACCGCCGGCGCCTCCTAAGACCTCGGGTGGGCCACCCTCCTTATTACCCTAGACCAGATAATCGAACCTTGAATCCTCCAGACCGAGTGACTCTCTGTGATGCCACGGGGCATCGAGGTATTGGCCTCCAGTAACCCCCTCCGTTAGTAGCCAAACTCCCTCAACAGCTGGGCGATGGGCCACATCACCCCCCTCGGAGATCCGGCGAATGGCCGGGTCTAGAAGTCTCTTCTGGAGCCTAATACCGTACCTCGGGGTATCTAGCGTGTGGACCAATTATTGGGAGATGAACGAAACCAAGACTAATGGCCCCTATAGCAGCTCAAACGGTGCACCTCTCTTCGCCACTGTTGATAGCAGACGATGCCGTCGCGGGTGAAACGGAAGGCCTCTGGGCCCTTCTGTCCCTAGCTTGTAATGATGGCCGCGTTTGATGGTAGTCGACCACCCAGCTCCATTGTTTCCGCATCAGCGGGGTAGGTTGCGGGACACGTTCAACGGCTTGAGCAACGAAATACGGCGCAGATACGGGCGACGATAGAGCGGTAGCGGTGGACATAAGATACGGCGATCGCACAACAACCTTTAGGTGAAGAAGGAAGATATGTGTTTCGACCTTGGCTAAAGGACAGGAGTAAATAAGAAACCAAATATCACTCCCCGGTCCTTCCACCATTCACTACACATATCCGTCCTCCTCCACACATGTCTCCCTCTCCCTTCCGGACTCCCAGGCTAACAATAGAAAGACCCTCTCAAAGAACTCTCACTGCTTCCTAGCCTTCACGCATCTGATACTTCCAGCTTGTTTCCTTCCAATGGCTTCCATGCTTTCCAGCGACAAACAATGACGCCGGATAATGATGACCTCTTTCCCATGCTCATAGCATCTACCGGACGCTCGTACTTTCCGGCGACGATAGCCTTCTTCCGACGGCTGTAGGTGATAACCCTCCAATGGCTACGGGTAAGGACGACAGGGAGTGACGGCGGAGAACGACAACAGCAAGCATACCGAGCAGCTACGGGCTCCAACATTAGCATGGGAATACGAAAGCGGAAGGAGACACCTGATAGAGAATGGATATGTGTGGTGATAGTTGGAAGGATCGGATGATGGCCCCGTTGCGCTTTACATCTCCTATATTTAACATAGTGCCTGCGCCGTTAAACCTTGTTTTGGATCCGGGGATGGAATCCGGAAGGGTTTACCGCCAAGCCCATGGTATTCAAAAGGTTTTCTCGCCTGCGCACATCATGACGTGTGGTGGGCCGGGTAATGGGGTTACCCTCTTGTAGCGGTTTTCTTACTTAAGCGCTCCACCAGCACCCATCCATAGACAAACACAGCCATACACACCTCCGACCGGCAACACAACTGAGCGATTCTTTTCACCACCATCACAAACCAAACTTCTACCATCACCCCAGGTTCGACAGCGTTCATACGTTTGACACCATGCAGGGCCTCTATGATGAATTGTGGGGAAAACAGCTACCGGTCATCGAAGATCGCACATTCTCCATTCCCTACCCGGGACACAGCTTCCGTCCAGGATATAAGGTCGATCTTAAGGAGATAGGAGATGGAGCCTTTCCGGATCCGGAATTCGCAAAAGGAAAGAAGGAGAAAGTATTCAGGGTACTCGAGGTTGGGTCAGCACTTTCTTGCAGGCGGAGGCGACTTCTTGTACGTCAAGAGTATGAGACGATTGAACGCGATTTATTGGAGGTCGAGTCGGACAAATGGTCAGACGTCGACTCCGAGACCGGGGACCCAGCGGAAGACTTGAATCTTGATTACGAATTAGGTGGTCAACCGGGTTCCGGTGCGTAGTATTTGTGTTAGTCCTTTTCTGACCCCCTTTCTGACAGATATACAGGAAAATCATTTTTTCTTTCTTACCTCCTCATGCGCAGGATTCTGGCAGGTCAACCAACTGCTTTTCGCACTAATGATGGCGAGTGCTATTTGTTTGATAGCAATTCCCGCGGCAGCAGGACCGATGCCAATTACCTATTCTACCTCCCCGAGGATCAAAAGAAGCGGCTTTGGATCCTGACGGACGGGGCGCTTACTGATGAAAGATGGAATATGAAGGGCCACGGTTGGTTTGTGGTACTGGCAGCCTCGCCACGCAAGGTGAAAATTTCAAACCAGTGGGTAAAGGATAGGAATGTTGCGTTGCGCTATATGGGCAACTGGGGATGGGATGAGATTATAGCCGCTTTCACGTACCAGCTCCTTCTTCCTTCTACGAGTGCGGCCGATAGATATATTCGTCACGTGCGTCTGATAAGACATTTTTGGCGAGGCCGGTAAGCAAGACATGAGCTGACCAAACTACCCTATAATAGTCTAGCAAAGTCCAAGCCCCCTACTCCACGCCAAATAGCAATGCTCTTCACAACCTTCACAAGTCTGGGCCCCATTGCCAGGGCCTGCTTACAGACAATATCCGTGAGGAATGTCAGTGCCTATAATAAAAACTACAAAGCCTACGTTGGCAACCTCGATTACGAAATAAACACATTCATTGCGCAGGGGGGTTTCCTAACGGTAGAAAGTAGTGTACATCAGGAGGCTTCGCACAAGATGGCTATTATGGAACCTAGCGATGATGGGGTGTTGTATGATGCCCAAATCACTACCAGATGGATTGCCCACAAGATCTATGAGAAGACACAGATGAAGTCACAACTGATGTGTTTCGAGCTCTACGATCAGCTCTCCCGCCAAAGTTGGCTCCGAACCGCGGCTGGCTGGCTTTTCGAGGCGTTCGCACATGACTGGTTCAGATATGGCGGATCTTTTGAGGCTGATAAACTTCCGATCAAAGACCACAAAACCCCGCCCCTCGAATTCACGACATCTCGGTCCGAATCACGCAACCACTTCACGGATGCCAACAACCTAGCCGCACAGATTCGAGTGGAGGGCGGCCGGGGTATCGAACCCGAAGTGATCGGAAAATATTTCCTTCCTTATAACGCCAACTTTGAATCTGTTGATGGACTTGTTTTTAGTGCTTTGAACACATTGATTCTGCTGCAAATAACCATGGCCGAGAGCCACGATATCAAACTTCGTGGGTTGCAGAAGCTTTGCGAATCATTGCCGGATACTATCAAAAATATACAAATTGTTTTCGTTATCCCGCAAGACCGCGTGCGCAAATACTCGCGCAATCAAAGTGTGCCAGATGCTACAGATGTTAAGCCAGGGGCAACGGACCTGACGATCGAACAGTTCCGACTGGTTCTCACGGGGGAGACAATGAAATCGATGGCCCTTGGTGGGCCTTTCAAGGCATTCGATGGGGGTGGAGATCCGGATAAAAGTGGCAGTAGGGACCATGATGGGGGGGATACGGCTAGTGTTCGTTACGGGGCCTCCGGGGCCCCGAAAAACATGGGCCCCCGGCCAAATTCCCCGCCCCGGCCCGCTCACCGGCCCGGGGCGGGGCGATTTTTTGGGCTTTCCCCGCCCCGTAACGAACACTAGATACGGCGATGGGTGGCACACAATGAGGTGTGATATATAGTGTGCTGGATGCGGTGGATGCTGGTTAGTATTGTGCATTTTTTGTACGGATGGAAATAGGCTTGGTCTCTGGTTAGTAGGGGTGACTTCTGTTTGGGGCTGGTGCTGAATTCGTGTTTTGTGAAAACCGTTTTTGCAATTGCTTCTTCCCCTTTTTCACCCTGTCCGGCACTGTGTAAAGCACACATTTTCTCCTTTCCGCTTCTTTATCCTTGAGTAGACAATCACTGCAAGAGGGGATATTTTTTCTTGTAAACAGCATAGCATAAAATTCACCTATGAGCATATCGTTCACTGAAAAATTCAACCTACTATCGTTGCAGTCAGTGATCCCAAGTGGGCAGCCCAGTCCATTTTACTGTAGGTAGAAAGCTCTGCACGCCAAGCTATCTACAACACAGGGGTTTTCATGGGTACACAAGCACTCTCCCGACTGCTAAACTACCCAATGAGATCGTCCTAGCCTACACCGGAGTATCATCCTGCAATACCGTACTGGGCGGGGGGGCAGATGGGGGCAGATGGGATGACTAATTGGAGGCTTAGAGCTTGTCAGGTGATTATAGTGGTCTAATACTCACCCGACAAATGCCAAGACCTACACCGGTATGTTTTGGGTAGGTTGTTGTGCCAAGATTCCAGAGATTTACCTGGTAAACCATCCATCCATCCCCTCGTCTCATTGCGCTACCACACGAAACACAACTACCGCAACCGACCCCTCCCCCTTGGTATTGGATTTTAGCCAGCAGTAACGGCCTATGTCTTCCTCCGCCTCGCCCAATATCGCCAACGCGATCCACTCCAACGCTCGGGTCAGGGTCCCCGGGGCCTCACGACAAGGAGAGTCAGGAATCAGCACAAGCGACGGCGGTGGTGGAGCTAATGCAGGAGGCCGATGACACCCTGCAGGTGTACGAACAGTTCAAGGAAGCGTTTGATCAACACATGGCGCAGTGCCATGGTGCAGGTGGGATTGGACTGTGACGTGGTGATAGTCGCAGAGCCAAAAGGTTTGGGGAACGAAATAATACTCGGGCATCTGGTGAATACGGCTATTCTGGTAAAGGCCAGCTTGGCTCTACACATTACTCAGGCGTTGTGGAGCGTGGTGGTGATGGGCGTAGTTATAGCAAGCATGTCGGCGAAGGGGCAGCGAGTTGTGCGATAAATACTTGTTCGCAATGGTTAGTTTTCCGTCCTCTGTTTGTATCCATCCACCCATCTACACTCCTGCAGACTGTTGTAAAAACTGACGATGATGTTTACCTGGGGTAGTGTTGGTTTCAGTTCCGGCGCTGGTATACCTGACCCCGGTTTCAGAGGACAAAAATGTTTGCGCACCCGTGCTGGGTTATTGGGGTTAATACTATATTCTCGGTATGTTTGCTCTTGTTTCCTCGTTTCTTATGCTCGAGGGGAAACTGACTGGACGCAGATTTTCTGGTTCGCGGCCGGCGGGATCTCTGATGGAGAGGGGAAAGAGAAGGACGAATAGTGTAAGATCAAGAAGGTGGATGTGTATTGTTTCCCGCTGGAACCTGTGAGTGCCCCAAAGCATGTCGGATGAACCAAGCAGCGGTCGGACTCGGTGTGATTCTGTGGTATACCCCCCCTGCACACCATTCATTCCTTAGTTCCATTTTTTCCTCGTTAACTTGATGCAGGTTTTTCTGGCTCGGGACCACTGCGGCCGCGGGCTATGCCGCCTGGTATTTCCGCTATCACAGCGTCTCCCCATTCGAAGACCTAGCCCGGCAGGACATAACATTGAGGAAACCACCAAGGATGCTTTCAGTTCTAACGACGAATGTGCCCTCATTAATAAAGACCTGGATGAGCACGACGGTGACAGCGGATTTTCCTCCCATCACGGACGTAGTGGAAGTGTGACTAGCTACGATACTAGTTACGATGCTCACCCCGATAACCCTATTCTTTGGGGCGGCGAAGGAAGCGCGTATCCCATAGATTGTACCGTAGTGGGCCACTCCAAGAAGGGCACTAATCAAAACGGGACGCCAACGAAGCCCAGTAACCCTTTTTGCCTAGCATCATATTTATACCGTTTGGACCTGTCGATTGATACCTGTGACCTAAACCCTAGTTAATATATCTGGGTAACTCGGTGGGGGGGAGCTAGGTATGCACTGAAAGTGGCCCGCTCTCCCGGGAGACCCGAGAAAGTCCCCGGGCAAGACCACCCCCACACTCGAACAAGCCTGAACAACCTGGCTGTTCCTCCGTGGTACCTGGGAAAGTATGATAAATCGGGGGAGATGCACCGGTGCGTACTCGCCGGCCGGGAAGAGGTTCTCGGGCGACACCACCCGGATACCCTAACCACCATAAATAACCTAGATGTTGCGCTACAGTACCAAGGCAAGGACCTTGAATCCGCGACTCTGCACCGGGATGCACTGGAGGGACGCAAGAATGTCCTCGAAGCAGACCACCAAGACAATCGAACTGGCCTTCACGTCTCGGCTATTGCGCCGGAACAGGACTCCAAGAGCAACGAAGCAGAATGCGGTTCTGGATACCGCGACATATGAGGGTAAGGTTCTAGCAGCAACATTTACCGTATTGCAGCAATTTTCATCACGCTAATGCATAAACAGCCTTGCCCCCCGGAACGCTAAAAGTGGGCCACTTTTTCAACAGACTATGGGATAATGGAATCGGAGACACGGACCAGTGGCAATCGGCGAGAATAGAAGAACCCCCTCGGGGTTAAGCATGCCCATCGCTCCGGATGAGGATTATAGCTATAGGGGAGCGACAGTGAAATAGGATTTTTTCTGTGTTTTCATTTTCTTCCATTTCTTTTCCTGGCTAGGTTTTCCTTTTGGCTCTGGTACGGATGGGATGGGTTATCTCCTTTTGCGTTTTATATATCCTTTTGCGGCATGGTATCCGGAAGGGTTTACTGCCAAGCCCATGTATTCAAAAGGTTTTCTCGCCTCCGCGCATCGTAACGTATGGCGGGCCGGGTAATGGGGTTACCCTCTTGTAGCAGTTTTCTTACTCGAGCACTCCACCAGGACCCATCCACAGACAAATACAGCCTTATACACCTCCAACCGGCAACACAACTGAGCGATTCTTTTCACCACCATCACAAACCAAGCTTCTACCATCGCCCCAGGCTCAACAGCGTTCATACGTTTGACACCATGCAGGGCCTCTATGATGAATTGTGGGAAAAACAGCTACAGGTCATCGAAGATGGCGTATTCTCCATTTCCTACCCGGGACACGGCTTCCGTCCAGGATATAAGGTCGACTTTAAGGAGATAGGAGATGGGGCCTTTCCAGATCCAGAATTTGAAAAAGGAAAGGAGGAGAAAGTATTCAAGGTACTCGAGGTTATGCGGGAGCTTCCTTGTGGAACGGATCGACTTCTTGTACGTCAAGAGTTTGAGATGATTGAACGCGATCTAATCCAGGTCGAGTTGGCCAAATGGACAGCCGTCAACCCAAGGACTGGGATACCAGCGGGATACTTGAAACTTGATTACCAATTAGGTGGTCAACCGGGTTCTGGTACGCCGTAGTATTTGCGTTAGTCCTTTTCTGATCTCTTTCTGACAGATATACAGGAAAATCTTTTTTCCTTTCTTACCTCCTGGTGCGCAGGATTCTAGCAGGTCAACCAACTGCTTTTCGCTTCAATGACGGCGAGTGCTATTTGTTTGATAGCAATTCCAGGGGTAGTGAGACCGATGCCAACTACCTATTCCACCTCCCCAAGGATCGGAAGAAGAGGCTTTGGATCCTGACGGATGAGGCGCTCACAGATGCCAGATGGAATAAGAAGAACCACGGTTGGTTCGTGGTACTGGCGGCCTCGCCAACCAAGGTGAAAGATTCACATCAGTGGAAAAAGGATAGGAATGTTGCATCGCGCTATATGAGCAACTGGGGATGGGATGAGATTATAGCCGCTTTCACGTACGAGCTCCTTCTTCCTTCTACGAGTGCGGCCGATAGATATATTCGTCACGTGGGTCTGATAAGACATTTTTGGCGAGGCCGGTAAGCAAGACATGAGCTGACCAAACTACCTATAATAGTCTAGCTAGTATCAAGCCCCCTACTGCATGGCAAATCGCAATGCTATTCACAACCTTCACAAGTTTGGGCCCCATTGCCAGGACCTGCCTACAGACAATCTCCGTGATGGATGTCACTACCTATAATGCCAGCCTCGATGACTACCTTGGCGAAGTCGATCTTGAAATAGATACATTCATTACGCAGGGGGGTTTCCAAATGGCTGAGAATAGCGTACATCAGCGCGCTTCATACAAGATGGCTGTTATGGAACCCAGCGATAATCGGCACTCGTATAGTCCTCGGATCGCTTCCCGATGCATTGCGCACAAGGTCTATGAGAAGACACAGATGAAGTCACAACTGAGCTCTTTCGAGCTCTACAATCAGCTCGTCCGCCAAGGTAGGCTCCGAAGTGCGGCTGGCTGGATTTTCGAGGCACACGCACATGACTGGTTCAGAAATGGCGGATCTTTTGAGGCTGATAAACTTCCGATCGAAGACCACAACACCTCGCCTCTTGTATTCACGACATCTCAGTCCGAATCTCTCAATTACTTCACAGACGCCAACAACCTAGCCACACAGGTTCGAGTGGAGGGTGGCCAGGGTATCGAACAAGAAGTGATCGGAAAATATTTTCTCCCTTATAACGCCAACTTTGAATCAGTTGATGGACTTGTTTTTAGTGCTTTAGACACATTGATTCTACTGCAAATAACCATGGCTGGGAGCCACGATATCAAGCTTCGTGGGTTGCAGAAGCTTTGCGAATCATTGCTGGATACTATCAAAAATATACACATTGTTTTCGTTATCCCGCAAGACCGTGTGCGCGAATACTCGCGCAATCAAAGTGTGCCAAATGCTACAGATGTTAAGCCAGGGGCAACGGACCTCACGATCGAACAGTTCCGACTAGTACTCACTGACGAGATAATGAAATCGATGGCCTTTGGTTGGCCTTCCAAGGCACTGGATGGGGGTCCAGGTGGCAGTGGCGGTAGGGGCTGTAGTCGGGGGGTGCCGCGGTGAGTGGCACACAATGGGATATGAGATGTGGTGTCTGGGGTACTACCGGGATTCATTTGTGTCACGCATTTTTGTACGGATGGCAATCGACTTAGTCTTCGGTTAGCAAGGATGACTTCTGTTTGAGGTTGGTGCGGCATTTGTTTTGTGGAAAATGCTTTGGCAATTACTCCTTTCCCTTTTTCACCATGCCTGGCACCGTTTAACGCACACCTTTTCCCTTTTCTCTTTGTCCTTAAGGAGACATAACTACTACCAGAGAGGATGTATTTTCTTGTAAATAGCGTAGCATAAAATTTACCTATGAGCATATCGTTTGCTCACAGCAAAATTCAACCCATCATCGTTGCAGTGTCATTTATTTGTGGTGTGATTTTGTGTCTGTCACATAACCAGATTATTGTGAACAGAATAACAAGATACGGCACCACGACGATGGAGGATAGGGGGAGGATAGCGAGCAACTTGGTTTGTATTGGTCTTACTTGCTAAACTGATTGTACGAGTGCGGCCGATAGATATATTCGTCAGGTGGGTCTGATAAAAAGAATTTGGTGAGGGGGCCTCGCCAAAAATGTCTTATCAGGCCCACCTGATGAATATATCTATCGGCCGCACTCGTGGTGGCGGGGGTATATATGGAAAACATAGCATCCTTCAGAACTTTCCATCCATCATCGTTGATGTCCACTTCCTTCCGTCAACCCTATCTGATAACAAAGAAAGAACATTCTGCATAATTCCTGGACAAAAGAAATGTTCCCCATAACACCTGCCTTCCTCCGTCTTTGACCACAAAGCCATAACCATGTCCGACATCCTTCCCCGTAGCCGTGATGCTTTCCTTCCTAAATATGCACACTTCCACAGAACAAAAGAAACTAAAACCAGAGCATGCCGAGCTGCATTTCCAACAGATTATTTCCTCGTCCTCGGGGTTTGATTTGTTTGACCTTCTTTCTGCCTATTGGGCTTTGGTCTTCGTCACAGATCAATTTTTCTAGTAGCTTTCGTGCCCACCCTCATCTCCCTCGAACAACCCGAAATGCGGTCGATTGCACAATAATGCTGTTGGGTATCCTACCGGTGCCAAGAAGCTAGAGCAGTCTGTGGTTTAGATAGTGAAGCTGGCGGCATCAGACGGTATCATTATTTGAGGATAGTTGACCTCCCGGCATGGGCGGGTATGTGGGTGATGGGGCTGGTATCGGCGTTCCAAACGGTCCAGTCTGTCCGTCTTCTGGGCAGGACCTGACGGAAAGTTGAGGCAATAAAGGTACTGGGGAGCGAACCCCGGGGAAATACAACGAATTGGCTAAGGCATATTTCAAACGGGGATGCATACTTGAAACGGAGCCGGGTACCCCAGCCGCCTCTAACGAGATGTGCTTTCGGCTGAACGTGTCCATTAATAAGTGCATTTATAATACCTGTTGAACCGCCAACTGCATATGGCATAACAGACCTTGTTTTTCTCTGAACGGACCCACCTGGTCCATATCGTATAATTCACCAAGGGCCACTGGAGCTCTCATGCCTTTGCAGAAAGAAACCTATAGTCATGGAAGGAATATAGGATGGAGATGTTGAGAAGATACTGGCAGAACATTCGGAACAGCCTCAGGACGAAGCCATGGGAATTGGCAAGAGAGCCAGAGCTGAGATAAAGGTAAGAGAGAGGAAACCCCAGTGAAAAATAAGGGGGGATCAGCCGGGCTGAAAGAAAGAGGGGGGACCTTATAGTAACCATTTCCATCGAATTTTCACAAACAGATGGCTAAGTAACTACCTCGCGAGGTGATCGAATACAGGCAGCAGCGAGGAATCTCTCCAAAAAGTATAATGTGGGCAGACAATATCGCAATACAGCGGGAAGGTATCAAGTGACCTGCAGAAGACGAGCTCTACACCTGGATGTTAATGAGGTATCCATAGTTTGCCTCCCATGGGTACGCGAACTGGAGAATGGCGCGAGCCTGGAAATCGTTAGCACGAAGAAAGTATCGATCAAGAGGCTTGTAGTTTTCGCATATGGTTCCATTTTCTACCCATACTAAAACATAGCTCCCTCCGCACGAAAAAACGGCAATCCACTACCCTCGAGGAAGGGGGGGGGGCTATGTGCGGCAGGTAGCAAAGGTGATTTCTCTATAAATAAGAACGGTCACGATTGTTTTCACCAGGTTTGTCCGGGCCTACATCACAGGACGTCGGCAAGACCTAAAGGTGCGTTTCTGTCTAGAGAGCCCTTCCCCCCGACCAAAGCCCATAAGGCATAGGACCCCCTAGACCATGGGAGTAATAATGATACGAGAGTTATCGCAAATATGGGAGGACGTGTTTAGGGAATGGAGAAGAGGTTTTAGAGCTTAGATGCGGGAGGGTTAACTATAGTTGTATTTTTCTACTTTTTTTTTCGTTCACAGGAATTTACATCCCATAGCGAGCCATACCTCAGGTCCAGGGTCCAATTCGGGTTGTGTTCCTACGATCTACAAAGCAGAGCGACACAGAAGCACTGTCTTCGTCCAGTGAATTTATTGCGCATCAGATCCCAAGCCATCTTTTTGTGCCGAGTGATATTCCATGATCAAGCACCATCCCCGCCATCCTACACTAGTGGCGGCCACACCCCATGGCGGTGTCCATGTCAGCAGTGTGACATGCCTGTCACACCTAGTAATGTCAGGCCTGCGTACCTTCAATCGCCCCCAAACACCTCATATAGGTGTCGCCACACCTCAGAGTGTTGTTTGCAGTGACTCTTCCCTAGGCAATGTTTCTATATATTTAGCACTACCATAAGCCCCTCGAGTAGAATGCCTGTAATCGAGTCCACGGGCCATTGGGAATTTTAGGTGAGCTGGCCGGGGGGCGTATATATCACCTAACCTCGATTCTTATAGAATAAGCTTG